CCCCGGCGCCGCCCCCTCTCGCTCTACTGCCCCTCCCGGCGCCGCCCCCTCTCGCTCTATGCCCCTCCCGGCGCCGCCCCCTCTCGCTCTATGCCTCTCCCGGCTCCGCCGCGTCTCTGGTCAACCTCCCAAGTCCCGCGCAATGAAGAGAGGACGAAAATTCGTCCCGCGAGCGAGTCGCTCGCGCGCGATCTCTCCCCTCCTTGATCCGCCCAACGCTCCAAGCCACAGTCGACAAAGACGGGACAGAAACGGTTCCCACAAGCGAGTTCGTCGTGCTGCCCGTCCCCGTCGAGGAGTCGCGGCGCCCGCGAACTGCATTTTCCCCCCTCTGCCGCTCTCGACTCTCCCTCGCAACCTCCCGCTGACCTGGAACCAACCCGGGGTGGACAAAGACGGGACGGATCGGCGTCCCGCGGGCGGGTCCTCCGTGTGGGTTGTCGACGCCGTGCTGGTGACAGCCTCGCTGTCGCTGTCGCTGTCGCGCGAGCGCTGTTTAGTGTTCCGATAGCCTGGCCTCGAGCACTCGGAACCCACGCTGACCCTCGAGGAGGACAGGCTGGATCGCGCGGCGGTTGTGCTGCTCGCGAACGCCTGTGGTCAGACAGAAACAGATCGACGTCCCGCCGCTTGCGGGTCGTCGCGCTGTCCCTCTCCGACGAGCAGCCACCGCTCCTCCGCGCCGTTCACTCCATGGAAGCGACCTGCGGGACGGTTCTTCGTCCCGCGAGCGGGGCCGGCGCGCTGTCCCTGGGGTATCTCGACGCACCCAGCTAGCGGTGTTCCACCGCACGCTCGCGTATTCCGGCCGTGGATCTCTCAGACGGCACACGCGCGCGTCGGGGTGCGAGGCGATGTAGGGACGGATCGACGGCGGGTGGATGGGAGGATCGTGGTGCATATCTTGCGATGTAGGGAGGGCTGCGCACCTGATTCGAGCGGTAGAGACCCGCCTCACCCTGTCCTCTCGACTTGCCCGCCGCCGGACCTCCCAGCCACTCTGCACACGAGACGCGTTCGTTGGGAATTCGGGGGTGTATGCGGGGAATTTCAGAGTATGCGGGGAAATTCAGACTGTATGCGGGGAATTTCAGAGTATGCGGGGAAATTTGAGAGTATGCGGGGAATTTCAGAGTGTATGCGGTGGAATTGGATGAATCGAAAGGGCGAGTATAGACGCCATGAATTGAACAGAACGCGTTCCTAGACCACATATACAACATACCCGTCTTTACCTTGGTGTTGAGGGCCGGGTCAAGGAGACTTGCAGCTCTTTTACTATTTGGTCGAGCGCCTACGCACGGCTATCAGTCTCCAAACAAAAAATACGGGGTCGGCCACGGGAGCACGCGCCTGCACAGATTCCCTTTCGACCCGCTTTCGACGGCCTCACTCCCGACCCCCACCTGCGCGCGGCTTTCTCGACACGGCTCTCTCGACACGGCGCTCCTGGCGACAGAACGCGGGCAAGGGCGTCTAGAGTGCGGGGCGGGGTAGCGCAAGACAGGGGCGAGCACGGCGCGGGCGACGAAGACGAGGACGAGGACGGCGCGGGCGATCGCGACGCGTCGTGCAGGCACGTGACGCGACCAAGTCCACTCTTCCTCGCTCATCCCCGCTCCATTGGCACGACATGCCCGTGCACGTCCATCTGTCGCCTCCCACCTCCGCATCGGGCTCCAGGCACCACGTATACCGCGGGGGCGCGAGAGGATACGCCGTCGCTTACTGGGGCTTAGCGATGCTGTTGCCCGGGGCTCTCTCGCGCAGGGATCTTGATCAACAGTCCCAGGCGCGCCCCGTGCACGTCTATCCTTTTATGTCGTTTTCTTGTTCTTCTCCCACCTTCGCATCGGGCTCGGGGGCAGAAAGGCAGGTCAGAGTCTGGCTGGCTCCTCGTAACTTATCTTGCGCGCGAATCCACGGAGGCGATATCCAGCGCGGTATTAATACGCTGCAGTTTCCGATACTGGGCCCGCACCGCTTCTCCCGTCTTCTCTCCCATCGTGACGATCTGTCCTCGGCCTCGAAATACATATAAAGCGATTCTGGCGTTCCTGTTTACGTGCACTCTCATAGCCCCCCTCTACTTATAACTCATGGGCTCCTTCCACCTGCGACCCGTCTCCGACTCCTCGCCCAGCGCATCACCCTCGCCCCCTCGCGATCACAGCTCGCCCTCGGGCAAATCTTCGACTACCCTTCCGTCGCAGCCCTCGTCGACGACCAGCACCATCCAAAGCATCAACGGCCCTCGCCGTCCGCTGTCCCCGAGCTCTCTCAGAGGTAAG